CACCCGTCACTCCTCCATACCTCTACATCCCCACCCGACACTTCTCCAAACATCTACACCCCACTCCCACTCCTCCATACCTCTACACCCCCACTCGCCACTCCTCTACACCTCTACACCCCCACCCCACTCCTCCATACCTCTACACCCCCACCCGACACTTCTCCAAACCTCTACACCCCACTCGCCACCCCTCTACACCTCTACACCCCCACCCCCACCCCACTCCTCCATACATCTACACCCCCACCCCACTCCTCCATACCTCCACACCCCCACCCAACACTCCTCCATACCTATACTCCCCCCACCCCCACCCGTCACCTCTGCATACCTCAACTCCGCCGCTCCCACTGTGTGTGAACTCTGAACTCTGAATGAACCCATAATCAATTCTGCCACACGGACATAAAGTGGTCATTTTTGCTTGATTTAGCCACGATTTGATTCTATCTAGGGCCAAACCAATCGGAGATCATTATACCAACACACTGACCACTACACGTTTGGGGGAGTTGGGGGCTGGGAGGGGGAACTGACCCTAATTATCATGAGTTCCATTTAGCAATACTAAACATAGCTGAGATGTCTGTATGTGGCATTAAACGAGGCATTAAACTTTGACCTAAGTAAGCATTAAACTTTGACCTAAGGAAGCATTAAACTTTGACCTAAGGAAGCATTAAACTTTGACTTAAACGAGGCATTAAACTTTGACCTAAGTAAGCATTAAACTTTGACTTAAGCGAGGCATTAAACTTTGACCTAAGCGAGACATTAAACCTTGACCTAAGCGAGGCATTAAACTTTGACCTAAGCGAGGCATTAAACTTTGACCTAAGCGATGCATTAAACTTTGACCTAAGGAAGGCATTAAACTTTGACCTAAGGAAGGCATGAAACTTTGACCTAAGCGAGGGCATCAAATTGTTGACCTGTGATGGGTCATGAAACTTATGACCCAAGGGTTAGAGTCAGAAACTAAAATATATCATTTATTTCTAATATGGCGTGAACTCACATACAATATATCTAGCTAACCTATAGACATTCATAATCACAGTTATCAGTAGTATAAAATATTTTTAAACCCCTTTCTTTAATTAATATGGTTAATTTGCACACAAAATTTACAAAGATGCAAATTAAGAAACACAAAAAATATAACAAATAGTTAAAACTTAAAACCGCGTTACACTAGTCACAAGGCAAAGAAGTAAAGTTAAATTTCATATGTCACATCTTGCAACAAAGTAAATTTAGATGTCATATGTCACATAGTGCAAAAAAGTAAATGTATATGTCATATGTGACATACAGCAACAAAGTAAAGAAGCACGGTGTGTGTAGGTATTTTGTCATTACGCAACTAATAGAATAATTCATAAGCCATGGTCATTCAGTAAATAGAACGATCATTATTGCAAACTTGAGTCTTATAACGGATAGAACGAATGATGAACAAAAAGTGATCCCTCCCCCCCCCCCTAAACACCTCCTCCCTTCCCCCCCCCCCCCCGCTTGTGCTTGTAAGTTGGACCAAATGACTGATGGACAGAACGACTGATCCCTCCCCTCCCCCATCCTCCTCCCCCCCCCCCCCCCCCCTCTTGTCAGTCTACTGATTCGCTTTACCCCAAAATCCCAAATAGAAATCGAAACTCAATTCTCAATAATTGCAAGACTCAACGAATAGTGAGTGGTCTTTCCTGTCTAATTTACCCCGTTTCGGAATAAGTACAAAATTTTTCCTCCCCTCTTATGCCTTCCGTACGTTTCTCCATGCCCATGCATGTTTTTCCAGTATAAGGCCACACGGATTGAATGATAAAAGCAGCATGATATAATTACATACATAAAGATGTCGGAGGACTATCATCATTTGCGCGGAGGCAGCCTGAATATATGGCAGCTAGCTACATCCGAGGTATGAAGGGGAATCCTCTATAAAAATATTCCTCTCCCCCAAAAAATTGAACGTTCGTGAAAATACGCTGACACGTGAAATTATGACCCACGAGAAAGGAGGGGTTATTATTATTGTAATTTAGGGGTCAAAGTTTGACCGATTTTTTCCCCCAGCACGTCCGTTAATGTAAAAAGTTGAGATTAAAAGAAAATGCAGTTGACCGATGATTCGTAAGAGAATATTGTCAAGCCAGGAGTTCATTCACTTTGTTTATGTACAAATACCTTATAAGTCATTTGACGAAATATATTTAAGCAATGAATTTTTATCTCCGGAAGTTGAATGGTCTTTTATATAATATTAGCATGTTGATTTCAATTCCATCTTGCTGTTACAATGAATCGTATTCAGCGCTTTTGCAGCAGTGTTTCTTTCAGACTTTTTTTCTCCGAATAGGGGGTGGGGATGGAGCACTTGAAATTTTCGGGGGGGGGGGGAGAGAGAGGTCGGACAACAGTAAAACCATATTTTAAATATAAATTCTGTTTAGCTTGGGGGAGGGGAGGGGGGATTTTTTCGACCCCACCCCCCCTCCCCGTCAAAAAATGCCTTGAAGAAACTGTTTTGCAGAACATATTCTAAACAAATAGCTTTATAAAGTAAATCTACAGTGAATAACTCTTCGTTTTGCTTAACAAATTGTTATTTAGCTTAATTGGAAATTACGTTTGTACTGATTATATTTGAAAATGGTCGTTCTTTTTAGTTTGTCCGTGCTAGTCTCACTAGAAAAACATTGTTTCGATTTCCGCACGGAAACTCACAGATCGTGTTTGAATGTTTGCCATTTGACATCATGATGTGAGGATGTTCACACGACTATAGCCATTAGACATCATGATGTGAGGATGTTCACACGACTATAGCCATTTGACATCATGATGTGAGGATGTTCACAAGACTATAGCCATTTGACATCATGATGTGAGGATGTTCACACGACCATAGCCATTTGACATCATGATGTGAGGATGTTCGCACGACTATAGCCATTTGACATCATGATGTGAGGATGTTCACAAGACTATAGCCATTTGGCATCATGATGTGAGGATGTTCACAGGACTATAGCCATTTGACATCATGATGTGAGGATGTTCACAGGACTACTGACATTAGACATCATGATGTGAGGATGATCACACGACCAAAACTGCTGGACGGCGGCAAACAAAAGACGCACTGACCGCACTGTCAGGCCCACATCGTTGATGCCATGCTGTAGCACTGATTCCCCGTGGGGCACGGGATAAATGTCGCGTCAAGTGCTCCACCCAGGCTCTGGGCCATCCGCAAATGTCTATTGTTCTAGAACAATCTTTGAGAGTGGAATATTCCCGCTACAGAGCATCACTTACAGGATTAGGCACAAACATCCGCTCTGGTTTGATCCTTAAATTTTCACACACCGTCTGCGGAAGGTAAATCTTTTCCAAACCTCTCATTAATTAATCGCGACCACGTGACCAGAAGTTAACACTCACTCACTATATACCTCACCGCCTGTATCAGTTACCCCTCACTAACAACCTCACCATCTGTTCCATTTACCTCTCCCTAACTACCTCACTATCCATATCAGTTACCTCTTTCAATCTACCTAAACGACAATACCAGTTGCTTCTCATTAACTACCTCATAATTCATACCAGTAACCAGAGTTTCTTCCAGGCATCTCTTCGGGGGGGCTTCGCCCCCCCCCCCCCCCGAAAAAATTTTACCGCCCCCCCCCCCCCCGAACGAAATGAAATTTATATAATTTATATAGAAAATATATACTTTTAACAGTGTCCGCCCCCCCCCCCCCGAAGAAAGTCTACCGCCCCCCCCCCCCGAAAATTTCAAGTGACCCCCCGGAGAAAAATGTCTGGAAGAAACACTGCCAGTAACCCCTCCCTAACTCCCTAACCATACCAGTTACTCCTCCCTAACCACCTCACCATACCTGTTACTCCTCCCTAACTACCTCATCATACCAGTTACCCCTCCCTAACTACCTCACCATACCAGTTACCCCTCCATAACCACCTCACCATACCAATTACCCCTCCCTAACTACCTCACCATACCAGTTACCCCTCCCTAACCACAACACCATACCACTTACCCCTCCCTAACCACAACACCATACCAGTTACCCCTCCCTAACTACCTAACCATACCAGTTACCCCTCCCTAACTACCTCACCATACCAATTACCCCTCCCCCTCTGTCAATTATATTCACCACATTTGTTTTCAACACAAAACAGTTGATCCCATTTTCTTGGCATCCTGTAACTTTTGCGCACTAATTAAACTTAAATTTTTAGTTTGATTAATCGAGCTAATCAAGTGTGATTTGAGATTTCTCAAGCCATTGTTTTTATACCAGCACACGTTAGACGCAATGTGGCAGCAGTTCTCGTACAAAATTTCTGCGGCCAGTTTTAGCCAGGGTGCCTAATCTCTTTACACAGGCCCAGTCATCTTTCCTTATGGGTCCAGATAACATAGGACAGGTGAAGTTTAGGACCGAGCGAGTGTCGGACCAAATGACTGACGGACAGAACGAATGATAGATAAAACGAATGATGGACACAACGACAGATGGACCGATCTACAGATCGACAGAACTCACAGAGGAGAGATTAATTATTTTTAAAATCATGTGCAGCGTTTTAAAGCATTTGTCATATAAAACTTGGTGGTTTTGTAGGCATTTTCTACTAATTGGGCGTTGTTATGAATATTTTAAGTGACTAAACCAAATCGGACAAAAACCCAAACAAATAATGTGTATTTTGTTCATATCACCGCATGGTTATATCAATAAAATAAAAACAAACTAACCTTAGCTGAGGTTCAAAAGTAAAAAAAAAATATTTATCGAAAAAGAAGAGAGCGCCTTTAAAAAAAAACAACTGCTTGCGATTAAGCAATTGCCAATCAACGTTTCTCTAACAAATATTATACGTCAGTGTTAAATGTGGAGTTGTTATACGTCAGTGTTACATGTGGCGTTGTTATATTTCAGCAGACATGTAGACTCAAAGTAAACATTTCTCCATTCGCAGTTTTTTTTTTTTTTAAACATCGATTATAAAATTTTAATCGCACGTTCAAACTCATACGAATCAAATTCTTTCCCAAGTGACAATTTTTTCCCCTTCCAGACAAAAGATTTTTGTTTACAGCCAATCCATAATTTTTCTTTGAATTATTCCTTTTACCCAAATCTATTTTTGTAAGTAAACAAGCTTTTTTCTCGTAAGGATCTTATTTATAGAAACCTCACGAACAACGAGTTCCACTGTCTATAAGATTCGGCCTGTATGCCATTCACCCCTTACAGCCCGAGTTACTTTTTTATCGGCCATGTTAAAAATAAACCAGTCACGTGACACCAAGACTACGCCAATGAATTAAAATGACAGAAAACTTTAGGCCTAGAAGATGTATCACGCAGGACCAATAACTCTCTCGGCTCACTCATGACCAGAAACAATACTCTGAAGATTTCTTTCCCTTTCGCTCTAAAAACGTCTTTGTAGAGCACTTAAAATCGATTTTCTAACCTTTTTAAAGTTCCCATGTAGTATAGCTATAAAATCGTGTTTTATAAGACCAGCTTCTTAAACAGGTGAACGATGTTATTGATGCACTTTCCCGAAACAAACAACAATCCAGTGACAATCTTGTGCTTGTAAATATTGAGTTATTTTAACAGTTTCGAATATCTATATATATAATTCTCCTCTTCGAGCCGTTAGAAAACAAGCTGCAAACGCTCTCCCTACCTCCCCACCCCTACATGGTTTTAGTGAGCTGTGTTCACTCTAAATGTTTACAAGCAGAGCCAACGATTTTAAACGTAGGGGGGGGAGGGGGGGGGAAGGAAGGGGGGGGGTTATGGTCCTTAACGAGCTACTTATAGTGTTTTAAAGAAATATTTTCAGTGTCAGCGTTGGTACTGTCGAATTCACAAATTATGAATTATTGAAAATTAGAAACAACTAAATAGCGGCGTATGTTATGCCGCGGGCCGGCTCGTTGTAAATATTTTATTAATTTAATTCAGACATTTCGTTTTTATTCATTTAAACAGTCATAAGTAAAAATCCATCCAAGACTTTACCCACAAAATTTGCTGAGACGAAATCATCATGAGGACTGTTTACATAAATGTGATGTCAACACCCACATATACATAAGTGTAGAGCCAACACCCACATATACATAAGTGTAGATCCACCACTCACATTTACATAAATATCGGGATCAACAGAAACCGTTCACAAAATTGTTTTGACCAACACACACATTCACCACATTGTGAGGGTGAACACACACACTTACAATTCTGTGAGGGCTAATACCCCCTACTTACAACACTGTGTTCTCAACGCACTCTTAACCAAACGACCAGCACGTACTCACTCATTCATTTAATTCAACTGATACCTAATCATCGGGATTTTAAAATGCTAAATAATCCCTAGTCTTGTTATTCAAATTTTTAACTCCACCCCAGCGTGTAGTTTCATTCGTCGGGTTAGTTTCAAACCTCCACCCATCTCATTACCATAACACAGACCCACTCGAGCGAGAGAGAGAAAAAAGGCTTTCTCTGACGTAAAGTGGGACCATTTACATAGTTCTTCCTTCAGCCGAGACTCTCTGTTGACACACAGTAAACCTCAGCACCGCTGAACACCAGGCGCGTTCGTCTGGCACACAAACTGGTGGAGCAGCGACACAAGACTTTTGGACGCGGAGATTTGATACCTCACGCAGTCTGCTCATTGTGGGGCTGGGGATTGGGCTTTTTGTAGTGGGCTTTTGATACAATCAATCGTGGTTGGGATAAAAATTGTTTGTAGGGGTGTAAGACGAGGGTTTGAGGGTTTCTGACGAAACCAAAATGGAATGGCCTGGTCGAATGGTAGAGCGTACGCCTGCTAACACGAAGGTCTCGAGTTCGGTTCACGGACTGGAGTCTGTAGAGCAGTGTGATTCAACCCAGCTCTAATGGGTACCAAACTCACGTTAGGGAAACTAAAGGTGATTGGGCAGAGTTCTGACCACGCAATCTCGCTGTATGCAGAGGTCACTGAAACAGATGAACTAGAGTTGCGTTGGGCACGAACGGTAAAAAATGATGATGAATACAGCCAAAGAGAGTGTGTTTGGTACGAGCAGTAGTATGGACCCGATACATGCGGCTTCGAGTCTCTAGTATCCAATACAATTATTAGTATGATGCAGTCGATTGTTAGTTTCCGATACGATCTTTTATGTCCGAGTGATACAGTCACTTGTGGTTAACTCGTACTATGAAGGGTGTTAAACTGTTCATTCGATAATTTTCGACAGTCATTTGTGGTTAACTGTTTAAACAATAACTTGTAGAAAGTGTCTGATACCGTTAATTCTGTGACGTATAGAATTATACAACCATTGATACAATAAATAATAAGATGATACCAAATCGATACTATATATTGATTCAATCATTGATGTAACTGTCGTGGTTGTTGTTTTTTGAATCGTTATCGCTCAACAACGCACAGAACATCGCTTTCAGTTGCTTTTCCACTCAAAGATTTTGCCTGCCCGTGACGTCATCAAGACCATAATATATGTTATTTATCACGTGACTTTTAAAAATAAAACTATAAATTTTTTAGCATGTTCGTGTTTCTACATTTACCAAGCTAACGTAATTTCCAATTTTTTCTCTCTATTTCCAGGGCTACAAGCGAGTGTCGGCACTATTGATTGGGTGCGACTTGTGCCCGGCGACTAATTCGTCGGGGCAACAAATCCAGTGTTTGTCAAATATGGCTGGGAGGACACCAGAGATTCGTCTGGTCAATCACGTGACGAACGGTGGCTTGCAGACTTTGTGGCGGGCACCAGTGGTGGTCTGACCTAGTTGGTAGCAGTGGTGGTCTGACTTAGTTTCTAACAGAGGTAGTTTGACCTAGTTTGTACCAGTTGTAGTCTGACCTAGTTGTTACCATTGGCAGTTTGACCTAGTTGTTACCATTGGTAATTGTATCTTTGCTGGCTTCGCCCGTTGAATGTTTTGCAACGACTAACATCCAAACTGTTCGCAGCCGCCTATGTCCCAACAGTTGTCAATAAACTTCATCCCATGAGTAGCCAGCGAAAGTTTGACAGCCGTTACCTATACCCTGACAAATTGGAAAACAGCTGATGCTATGCACTGACAACCACCTGCAGCACAGGTAACCAATGAATGCTAGGCACTGACAACCACCCTAAGCCGAGGCAACCAGCTGATGCTTGACCTCGATAACCACCTACGACAGAGGCAACCACTTATGCAATACATTGACAACCACCTACAACAGTTGTAACCACCAATACTCCGGCTGCTTGCATCTTCCGATATGTTCCCATTACAACTTTCTACATTATAAAATAATCAAAGTCTCACAGCTTTCAAACTTTATAATCTAATTACAAATTATTTTTAATCTGAAAAACAATTGCCTGAACCATATTACACTTTCCTGTAGAACCTAACAAAATAAAAATATTTTTAAAGAACAGCACGTCCCGAGATCAAATTCGATTTATTTCAAGCTTCGTCAAAAACGTCGTGAATATTTTAAAAACATATATCAAACCAACATCAACGCCAGTGCGTTTGTACGAAAATATAATCAGCACTTCCTTACTACACATACACAACATGATACAGCCTGCAGTGCATGTAATACATGTATGTAATTGTAGGAAGGCAACTCATAAATACACCAGCCCGTAATGGAAAGATTCCTGTAAAAAAACTGTTTTCTTCGGACATCGGAAATTCCATGAAAGATGACCCCGTCCCTTGACGCTGAACGTTTTCGTCATTTCAAGCTATGAATAAAATATGGTTGTAGGGACATTAGGTGCGGGGAGTTAAACATGAATGAATTCAAATAGAGAAAACTAATCAACGAACTTTAATGAGGGCATTGCGGTGCGTCATTGACGAAAATGTCTTGTTTATATGAACCATGAAGTAAAGTTTTTTTTTCTTTTATATCAATCCAGTGACATAAACTTCGAGTATATGGAGTTGAAATAAATAAACTTTTTTAATTAGTGCACTAAATGACCCGGTGAAGATGTCAACGCTGGGACAGAACTGGGTGACGCCCTCGGATTTTTCCAAGCCCGACCTCGTCATCTTCACCTACACCAACGAGTCGTCGATCTTCTCGTCCAACAACTCGTTGTCGCCGTGGTACAACGACTCCTCCACCAGCTCCCCCGACTCGTCCCCCTGGTGGTGGTGGTGGTCGCACTACCCCAGCGGCTACTCCTGGCCGCACATCATCTTCGGCGCCTTCATCGTCACCATCATCATCTTGATGATCATCATCGGAAACTTTCTCGTCATCTGGGCCATTCTACACGACAGGACTCTGAAAACGACCCAGAACCTTTTCATAATGTCGCTGGCGTTCGCGGACTTTTTCCTCGGGTTGATTGTGATTCCGTTTTCTTTAACGAACGAGCTAATCGGGTACTGGATCTTCGGCGTGATTTGGTGCGAGCTGTACAAAGCGATTGACGTCCTGCTGTGTACGGCGTCCATCATGTCCCTGTGTTTGATCTCCCTGGACAGGTACTGGTCCATCACCAGAGCTGTCCACTACGCCCGTCAGAGAACACGAAAACGTGCCGCCATCATGATCTTCACGGTGTGGTTTATTTCCGCTGTCGTCAGCATCCCGCCGCTGATTGGCTGGAAGCAGCCGACACGTGAGTCCAAGTGGGCCATGTGCGCGCTGAGCGAGGACATCGGCTACGTCGTGTACTCGGCGTTTGGTTCCTTCTTCATCCCAGCGTTCATCATGGTGTTTGTCTACTTCAAGATCTACCAGGCAGCCAAACAGCGAGCTAGGAAAAACGTCACCAAGGTCCCAACAACAGCGACATCAGCGGACAAACACGACCAGAAACACTCAACGGAGTCTAGCGTGACAGAACACGCCGGGCATAAGGAGTGCTCACAAGACATTGACGAGGATAATATGAGCATCCCACCGGACGTGCATGAAGCTGGGGGTCACACGACGGAAGAAACCGCCTGTGACACGGCCGGGGAAAGCGTGCTACCCACCACATCTGAAGACGAGGCGAGCATTCAGGTGAGGCGTGCGCGTGAGTTGGCGACCAGAGCCGCGCATGAAGCTGAGTACTCACACTTGTTGTCCACAGACTCAGACTCGAACGAGCCTGGAACTCGAGTCGTGATCAAAGTAGACAATGGTAAACCCGGGTTCGAATCCATTCCGGCGCGGGACACAGACGCAGTGAGCCATAAAACTGTTGTGATTTCATGCACGGACGAAACGCATACCGTGAAGGACGAGCACACTAACGGATCGCTGCGCCGTTTCAAAATTTTAGAACTTCGCGCCAACGGTAGCTCGGCCGTTGCCAGCGATGGTTCCACGGATGTCCAGAAACGAACAGTTCTGGAATCTTTACGCAGACGTCTACTGGTCAGAACCAGAAACAGTCGGAAAAAGAAACCGGCGACAACTCGCTCAGAGGGCGGGAACAAAGCCACGGATTTCCAGAGTGCCGAAAGACAGAAGAGAAAATTAGCCAAGGCTCGAGAAAGAAGAGCTACCGTCGTTCTTGGGCTTGTCATGGCTGCCTTCATCTTGTGCTGGCTGCCCTTTTTTGCCCTTTACTTATCGTCAGCGTTCTGCGCTGAGTGCATTCCCCCCATGGTATTCACTGTATTCTTCTGGATTGGCTACTGCAATTCGGCGCTCAATCCAATCATCTACACGATATTCAATAGGGACTTTAAGAGAGCCTTCCAGAAAATTTTGTTTGGGAGAAAACGAAGTCGGCGTTGAAAAAGTTAAAAAATTTTAAGAAACTTTTAAAATAAATTTCAAATGTACACAATTCTGTATACTCTTCTATCGCAAAATTCATGGTTATGTTTTAATTCGCTGCTGAATTGTGTATTGTTTTTGTATTATTTTTCTGTTTTGTTTTGATATTTTGTTTACTCTATCATCCCACACTGATGTTTGTTGATTGGATAAAGTGAGTTAAAGAAGGCGTGGTTAGTTTACGTTCATCATACACTGCAATATTGTTTTCACATTTCATACATGTCAATATACCCTTAAGTTCACTTTTAGATTAATTGTTTTTGCAATAAGAATAACTAAGTTAAAATTTAAATATATTTATTTTTCATTCATTGTGTGAAGAAAATTAACATTTCATAAACCATTGTTATTTGTTGAATCCAATTTTTGTTATGTTGGTTTTGCATTTTTTCACAAAACAGACATCTCGCCAACACAGTTAACCACGAGATAAACAACATCAAAAGTCACTTTTTCATCGTCACTTTACTGTGCAGGGTCACATTATGATAGGGCGGTGTCTCCTGAGCTTTAATAAACGGCCCCCATTTTGAGTGGCGCGGTTTAAAAAAGCGGTGCGGCTAAAAATGGCTACATTTCTTTTTAAAATTAAACCCTTCTGGGTAGAGTATTGGAGCACCGGAAATGCTTTTAGCTAAAATAGAATCGCTGCGCAAATGTAAATGAGTCATGAGCAAAGAGCTTTTTAGCACTTCAATTCTTGAGTCTGATATCGTTGGCCTATAACCCCAACAGAGGGGTGATGGGCCATGTTATGACATAAATAAGAAATAACTTGGGCTAGACGAGCTACATTTTACCAGGGGCGGAGCTAGGCTACTCACTCAGTCTAGTACTGATGTCAGAGAAGACACGACGACGAAAGAAATCGGGCTGCCAAGAAATTGATAGTTGAGGTATATTTATAACGATTTAAAAGTTTTTCGTTAGCGGTTTAGAGTACTATAATGATTAAATTGTCAAAATGTCCCATTAAGATGAGCAATCTGTATGTATAGAAATAATTATGTATATAAGAGGAGCTCTGTTTTCAGTGAAATGACTTGTTATTCTCAGCATATTCACAAGTAGAACTTGTGTTAGCGTTAATTTTACGATAAAACTATTCAAAGGTAAAGATATTTATCCACCGTACTGTAAATATGGCTACAGTATACGTTTTAAAATTCCATTCTACTCTTCCAATTTGGCGACATTTTCACTGACCTTATACAAGTGTGTACACTATCCCAACCGGTTATAGTAATTTACAGACATTAAGCTAGCTGAAAAAACTACAGCACTTAGCACCAATAGTTTAATGAAAATAAAACGATGTATTTTTAGTAACTGCTATTAATAATGTATGGTGTAATACCAAGGGAAACTTAAATCTCAGATCCGTTTCCTTTCTAGAATATTCCTTCCTATATGGAGAACAATGCAAACAGTCTCAAGTCCATTGACCTTAGGAGAGGCCGCTCACCCCCGGGCTGAAGATGTTTGTTATAAGATCGGGTGTCCTTCCTTGGAGGTGTTCGCCCTGATAAAATGGGTGTCTTCCCTTGAAGGCTATTGGAAATGTTTGGTACAGATAAAATGGGTGTCCTCCCTTAAAGGCTATTGGAGGTGTTTTGCCCTGATAAAATGGGTGTCCTCCCTTGAAGGCTATTGGAAATGTTTGGTACAGATAAAATGGGTGTCCTCCCTTGAAGGCTATTGGAAATGTTTGGTACAGATAAGATCGGATCTCAGGCCCTGTCGTGTTTTACACCTTGGGCGACAAGCCATTAGCTGCGCTTGGGGGTAGGAGGGGGGGGGGGGGGGCAGGGATAAAGTAAGTTAGGGCATGAACTTGTGGATTGATGTATAGGAGATATTTTCTTTGGTAGATTGTTTGTGGTGAGAGGTTTATTCTCTACAGGGATACATGTTTTCTTTGGTGCAGGCTAGTGTCTGTGGTGGTATGGATCTTCTCTTGTGGATCGTCTGTGGTGGTATGGATCTTCTCTTGTGGATTGTCTGTGGTGGTATGGATCTTCTCTTGTGGATTGTCTGTGATGGTATGGATCTTCTCTTGTGGATTGTCTGTGGTGGTATGGATCTTCTTTGGTGGATTGTCTGTGGTGGTATGGATCTTCTCTTGTGGATTGTCTGTGATGGTATGGATCTTCTCTTGTGGATTGTCTGTGGTGGTATGGATCTTCTCTTGTGGATTGTCTGTGGTGGTATGGATCTTCTCTTGTGGATTGTCTGTGGTGGTATGGATCTTCTCTTGTGGATTGTCTGTGGTGGTATGGATCTTCTCTTGTGGATTGTCTGTGGTGGTATGGATCTTCTCTTGTGGATTGTCTGTGATGGTATGGATCTTCTCTTGTGGATTGTCTGTGGTGGTATGGATCTTTTCTGGTGGATTGTCTGTGATGGTATGGATCTTCTCTTGTGGATTGTCTGTGGTGGTATGGATCTTCTCTTGTGGATTGTCTGTGGTGGTATGGATCTTCTCTTGTGGATTGTCTGTGGTGGTATGGATCTTCTCTTGTGGATTGTCTGTGGTGGTATGGACCTTCTCTTGTGGATTGTCTGTGGTGGTATGGATCTTCTCTTGTGGATTGTCTGTGATGGTATGGATCTTCTCTTGTGGATTGTCTGTGGTGGTATGGATCTTCTCTTGTGGATTGTCTGTGATGGTATGGATCTTCTCTTGTGGATTGTCTGTGATGGTATGGATCTTCTCTTGTGGATTGTCTGTGGTGGTATGGATCTTTTCTGGTGGATTGTCTGTGGTGGTATGGATCTTCTTTGGTGGATTGTCTGTGGTGGTATGGATCTTCTCTTGTGGATTGTCTGTGATGGTATGGATCTTCTCTTGTGGATTGTTTGTGGTGGTATGGATCTTCTCTTGTGGATTGTCTGTGGTGGTATGGATCTTTTCTGGTGGATCGTCTGTGGTGGTATGGATCTTCTCTTGTGGATTGTCTGTGGTGGTATGGATCTTCTCTTGTGGATTGTCTGTGGTGGTATGGATCTTTTCTGGTGGATTGTCTGTGGTGGTATGGATCTTCTCTGATGAATTGTCTGTTGTGATGTGGATCTTCTCTGGTGGATTTTCTATTGTGATACAAATCTTATCTGTTAGGGTGTAGCAAAAACACTATATGAATAACACACAAAAACTGAAGCTATCCAATTTAGATCTATCACATAAAGTGACATTTACAATTCACGTCCACATTGTAGATATATTTCAGTTCATGGCAAAAAGATGCAATCATTCAATAACACCAGCTGCAAGCATCAAATACAGTTTTAGATATTGCAAACGAGCATTTAAGCCTAAAACCCATTTAAATATACATGCTGTCTGATGTTATTATGGTAATTATTTTTACTCTTGAAAGCTTGAGCATTTTTAACAAAACTGACGATTATTTGATTAAGAAAAAAACACTTTAAAATATAAACGTTTGTGCTTGAAAATGAATGGTAAGAGTGGTGTTCTAGTCCATTATAGCTACCATTTACATACTGTAGCAACACGTTTATATTTCCAGCATGCTATTCTTTATTTTTAGATACAACAGAATGAGAAAGTGGCACCTTTTGACTGTAAAATAAACTGCATTTGGAGCATAATAAAATTATATTACTTTATATATAATATATATATATATATATATATATATATATATATATATATATATATATATATATATATATATATCGACATTTTTATGTAGGATGTCACTTGACCCAATCTTTACGTAATTTTAAAACTGCAATATATTTGTAGCTTTACAAAAAATAGCTAGACGTATATAACGTGTTACGTATGAGAGGAGGTGGATATGTTTATAGATTTTTCTATTGTTTATTCGCTGTTAGTTAACAGCAAGCGCATAGCTACATTTACAACAATACTTTACAAAGCTCGAGTTGTATTTGTGTATTAATTTTCAACTAAATAAACTACGGCACAACAAATGATATTATACTTACCCGGCGTATGTTAGGATGTCTGTTATTTTGTTGATGTTTGTCTCTTTTTATCAATCGTAACCTGACAACGTGCACTTAAACTCAACCTTTCCATGACTCACTACGTGGAAGCCATCACTCACTTATCATTGTGAAATGAATTTCCCATTGAAAACAATTATGAGAAATAAATGAGAAAAAAAATGTTTATCATGTGTTTGTCGTCAATTTATTCAGAGTTTTAAAGTGCTTGTGGTTGTACTTAGCGCGCGCGCGCGTGTGTGTGTGCGTGTGTGTGTGTGTGTATGTGCGTGTATGCTTGTGATTGTATTCAAAGTTCTGCAATACATATAAATGCCTTCAGTGTGAGTGTCCTTCTGAGTGTATTCAGAGTGACAATGTTTATGATTGCATTCACTGTGTTACAAATGCTTGCGATTGTATATTTAAAACCTTCCTCAACAATTATGTTTGACAGATCAATTTTGTTACATTTCGAAAAAAATTCTTTTTTTTGTGAGGCTTCAAGGGAAATAGCTTGGATCGGTGAAGATGGAATAAGTAAAAAGTTGGAGGGGTTTTTTTTTCAGTTTGAAAAGGGCAGCGCTTGTTGGCTTTTGGGCGGGTTTTGTTTTGTTTTGGGATCTCTCTCACACAAAAATTTAAATATTCAGCACGAAGAATCGACTTAAGAGCTAATGAAAATGGATATATTTCTTTAGCACGCTAGCGTGTGTCAATCAAATAACTACGAATTTTATGGCTTTGGTGTGGGGAAAGAAAGTTGACAATTTACCTATCAGGAAGATGGAGTAAGACAGTCAGTTTATGAGGGGAGGATAAACAACAGTTAACCTGTGAGTGGAATTGGAACAGCTTTATTATTTTATGAGTGGGGAAGGAATAGCCAACTTCACTTTTGAGGAGAAGGAATTTTACAGATAACACGAAGAAAAAGATGATGAAAATAAGAATAACAAAGTCAACTTATAGGGTGAAAAAGGGATAACACAGTCAACTTATGGGGGGTGGAAGAAATAACACAGTCAACTTATAAAGAAGTAAAATGAATAAGTCAACTTATATGGGAAAAAGGAATAACACAGCCAAATTGAAGTTATCGTTAGTCAAAAAGCTAATTCAACACTAAATATTTTAAGAATAAGAACTGTAGAAATAGTTGGTTTTTTTTTATTAATTAAAAATTAGAACTAAAAGTTAGCTGGATTTAAGGTTAAATGGTAAATTGTTATATGAACCAAATAGACTTAGCTATCAACGCCTTTATTTTTTTATGCATTTAAGGTCAATAGTAAAGTTTTATATGAACCAAGTATATTAGCTATCAACACCTATATTTTTACATGCATTTAAGGTCAATGGTAAAGTTTAATATGAATCAAGTAGACTTAGCTATCAACACCTATATTTTTACATGCATTTAAGGTCAATGGTAAAGTTTTATATGAACCAAGTATATTAGCTATCAACACCTATATTTTTACATGCATTTAAGGTTGATGGTAAAGTTTAATATGAACCAAGTAGACTTAGCTATCAACACCTATATTTCTACATCCATTTAAGTTGACGGTAAACTGTTATATGAACCAAGTATATTAGCTATCAACACCTATATGTATGGCGTGAAGGGGCTGATTAAGTAATCGATACGCTAACCTGTAGCTGGCTATGATGAGATGGGAGAACCTTGTATGACGGGTCCTAAAACACGTTCCATGACTAAATTCCCTGCAACTGTTCCCTTCAGTTCCCTGCTGCCGGCCCCGAGATGGACTCAGTCAACTTGTATGACACAATTCTGGCACAAATTCTGGCTCCATTAATAGGGCCTATAGTGTTAAATGACATTGGGATTTTTTTTAGAACTGTTTTAATCTGAATAATGATAAACGTTGAACAAATATTTATACATAAATAAAACAGGGGAGAATCTATCGTAATATGGCAAGATAATTTTATTCGGCTTTCGTTAAATGTGATGCTATCTTTATTGATAAAAGTGCATTATTGAAAAAAATATAATAGTGTAAATAAAAAACAAATGAAATAATACAATATGAAAATAACAAATGCAACTTAATTTTAATTCATTTTAAAGATAAAAATATTTTGTGAATGGCGCAAAACGGAACAATTTAGGGGCTGTGGATTGATTTTTATGTAACAAAATTAAAGTTCAATAAAATAAAACCAACCTTTAATGAAGAAATTCCTCATTTTACTAAATTAATTATTTCAAACGGTGTAGCAGAGCGTGAGTTATGTATGGGCCAATTAAGACAACACAAATCATTTTTAAATTGATTGTTTTTTTTTTGTTAATGTTTAATATCAATGTAAATTTCTTTAATTAAATAAATTTAATGAACCATGCTGTTGCGATACATTTTTTTAATTAATTAATTTTGGATGGAACATTTAATCATCTTGAAAATATTTTTGTGTCTTTTACAAGTGGGAACAGAATTTAGGTCTAGTTTGATTCGCTTGTGTAGTAATACTGAGCGGTTTTCGTGCGTTATACAAATGTTGTATTGAGATCTATTTGTGCGTCATACAAATGTTGTATTGAGATCTATGTGTGCGTCATACAAATATTGTATTGAGATCTATTTGTGCGTCATACACATGTTGTGTTGAGATCTATGTGTGCGTCATACAAATGTTGTATTGAGATCTATGTGTGCGTCATACAAATGTTGTACTGAATTGTAAACGTGCGTCACACATAGGTTGTACTATTTGTATTCAGTGTCAAATACCCTGTAATGTGTATTTATGGGTCGAACGAAGATTTTTTTTTAAATGCTCAAATCCCAATATAGATTTGCATTAAAAAAACACAAACTTTACATTCCTTATGTATTCCTTCCAATTATAAACAACTTAAAAACGAGATAATTTCTTACAAATGTGCAATCACATTTTATTGAAATATATCATAGAAGAGGGACGGAGTGGCTGCTGAACCGAAAGTCTCCAGTTACCATCCCATTCTCAACAATCCGTATTTCCGTAGTCCAGCTAGCTCTGATTGGTACCTGACTTGTGGTAGGGAAGGTAAAAACAAATGGACATAGTGCTGACCAGAGGCGTAGCGTGGGGGGGGGGGGGCGGGGGTGCGGATCGCACCGGTTGACACCATTTAGGCAAGGCAAAAAAATCGTAACAAATATAGAGAAAACTTTGAGGGGGGTGCAAATCGAAAGTTTGAGGGGGGGGGGGGTGCAAATCGAATCGAAAGTTTGAGGAGGGGTGCAAATCGAAAGTTTGAGGGGGGTGCAAATAAAAAATTTGTCCCCGGGAAGGGTCGCTGCGCCTCTGGGGGGTGACACCATTAAGTGCCGCACCGGGTGACATCCGACCTCGTTACGCCACTGGTGCTGACTACACTATCTCAGAAAAATAGTTGATCTATAGGATATGTTGAGTATGATATATATATATATATATATATATATATATATATATATATATATATATATATATATATATATATATATATATATATATATATATACGATATATACTGAGCTACAGACTTGCAATATTATTCATCTTTTAAGAGCTACCGTAAAATCTTTAAAAATGTGGCCTCTTTTATGTACAGTGTGCACTTCTAAATGCTGCATTGGCTAAAGAATATTATTCGCGAATCAATTGCCGTTCTCTGCTTCAAGTAGAAAAATATTAACAAAGTTAAGTTCTACAGTGTGGAAAGTTGAGAATTAGAAACCGGCTAGATTCTACAGTCTGGAAAATGTTTGGATGAAATACCTACACGCATCACAAAACAACTGCCACAAATAAGTCTGATCTTAACAACCTCCAGCAACATGATAAATTGTTGCTCATTTATTACACCGCTAGATATAAAACACCTAATGCTAATCACATAGCTTTTAAATTTAAACTGTATTTTCTTCGTTGTCATTCCTCTAGATCAGGTGGATTAAAAGGGTTTCGGTAATTTAAGTTACAGTCCGTAACTTTGAATAGCATTGAATAAAAAAAGAACGTATTCCAGAATAAATGTATAATGTAGTGAATCTAAATGAAAGACCTCATTCTGAACAAATCGTTCAACATTATTCAAAGCTTTCATATCGATTTGTTTCAGATTAAAGAAACGATAACGTTGATAGTCCACTTAATCACGTACATCAAAAACTCATATACAATTTGAGATCAATTCAATACAGCAATTGAACTATATGAACGTCAGAAAACTGCTTAGCTGGCTAAAATTGTGAACTTATTCCTCCTTAATCTATCTATAATCTTGTGAGTCCTTCTCAGTGGGTTGGGATTGGCTAAGCTACTAGAGAGGAGCCGTAATTTTTCCTGCAACGAAGATGTTTTAAGGCGCAGATAGTTACTTTACAACATCAACATCCTTTGTTAAAGGATTAAGGAGATGATTTTAAACCTAATAGCTGTATCATAAATTAAGCATTGGTATTAACTTAATCTTTGAATTCAGATTCACTGCATTCTTATTGACTTCAACATTTCTACACATCTAAACCCAACATTACAAACATACATTAAAGCTAGCATTACTAACATACACTAAAACTAACATTTCAAACATACACTATAACTAACATTACTAACACACATCTAAAACCAACATTACTAACACACATATAGAGCCAACATTACTAGCATACACTGTCTCCACCATTACTACATGTTCGACATCAACATCATCACATCTCTAATCTTCTAAACATCACTGTATCTCTGACGGAGATGTTAGCTCAACAATAGTTCGATGTCCCCATTGCTACAGGTAAAAAGCTAACATCAAACATCTCTATTCATAACATCACAACATCATAGCCATAACATCACAAAATCATAGTTATAACATCACAACATCTTGAGTCACGAGACCAAAACATATCTAGTAATAACATCACAACATCATAACATACACAACATCATAGCCATAACATCACAACATCATAGTTATAACATAACATCTTGAGTCACGAGACCAAAACATCTCTAGTCATAACATCAGCGTCTCGTTAACCTTAAACATCACCACAACATCCAACCTTTCATCATAATACAACATTCCTCATCACGTAATCCAACACCTTTTTATCCCAACATCT